AAAAATATCAGTAAAATATATCATATAGGGGACAAACACAGTAATATTTGAGAAGTGAAATGAAGTTTAAATTATTTACAGAAAGTGTGCAATGACTGGTTAAATAAAATTAGGCAGGTGCATAAATTTGGGCACTGTTTTCATTTGATTGATTTCAAAACCTTTATTGGAACTCAAATTTGGTTTGGTAAGTTCAGTGACCCTTGACCCCAATACACAGGTGACTCCAATTATGATAAAGGGTATTTAAGGGGGGCAATTGTAAGTTTTTCTCCTCTTTACATCTTCTCTGAAGAGTCGCAGCATGAGAGTCTCAAATCAACTTTCAAATGAGCTGAAAACAAAGATTTTTCACCATCATGGTTTAGACAACGAAACTGAAACACCRGTCATTTTAGTGTGGGAGGTTTCATGGCTAAATTGAACCAGTCTGGTGGCCAATCTTCATTAATTGCACATTGCACCAGTAAGAAGATGTGAAGGTTCAATTAGCAGGATAAGAGCACAGTTTTGCTCAAAATATTACAACGCACACAACATTATGGTGACATATTAGAGTTCAAAAGAGGACAAATTGTTGGTGCATGTCTTGCTGGTGCATCTGTGACCAAGACAGCAAGTCTTTGTGATGTATCAAGAGCCACAGTATCCAGGGTAATGTCAGCATACCACCAAGAAGGARSKACCACATCCAACAGGATTAACTGTGGACGCAAGAGGAAGCTGTCTGAAAGGGATGTTGTGGTCTAAAACCAGGTGTTTCAGTTTCATTGTCTAACCCCTCTACTTGATATTACAGGCCTGCCTCTTCCCATGTGGACGCCTCCTAAAAATGTAATTAATTTAAATAATTTTATAATGAATGGCCAACCACAGAACAGTCTACACTAACAAGATGAGAATTTGTGCTGCCATCTTGGTAGGTGCTACATGGCCGCCCTTAGTTACTCTCCAGCATGAACACACACACAAAAAAAAACAGAGCTCAGCCAAGGAGCCCAGTTATTTGGCAAATGTTGTTATAATTGTTAGAACCTGAATATTCAATTGTGGTGGTTTTACCTTTTAGTTAGTTGTTTCTTTGGAAATATGAGTCTTTTTCAGGCTGTTTTCAGTATCATGCTTAGAATCAAGGAGGATGAGCTGTTCAAGCAAAAAAGAAAAATCACAAATAAATCTACTGGGCATAATTTCATTGTTTTACATTTGGTATTCTTTCTTAACAAGCGTGAAAAACTGACACTTGTTAAACTAGATCATCAGTAGGTCTCCTTATAGAGTAAAGGCTTATTAACGTATGATGTAAAAGATTTAATAAAACTGGTGGCTTGTCAAATTTTTACTGTTTTCTGTGCAAATCCATTTTTGAACCACGAAGTCCAGAGGCAGTGTAACACCAGAAATAGGATTCTGTTTTTTTCTGTCTTTATTCTAATCTCTGTGGCATTAAATTTGAAATTATTATTTTTTTGTTTTAGAGAATCTAATTACTTTTCGTCCAGTTTTATCCCTCCTGTGGAAAAGCCCTGGGGAAACTTTTCTTATCAGAGTAGTTTTTGAATGRTAGTTGTTGGAGAAGAAAAGTTGTTTAATGGATTTTTAATGGAGAAGCACTTCAATCTGCATTAAACCGACCTGGAGTGGAGAAAGAGCCTGAAGCAGCGGCTGCTAATAACCAAAACCCTAAAAGCGTCGGTCCGAATCGGAGCAGGACCCCCTGCTGTGATGTCACATGATGAGAATCTGTGGTAAAGTGTCAGAGTGGCGGAGAGGACTCCACGCTGTGTGCAGCCAAGCCAGAAACAGGGAGGCCAATTATTTTTGAAGAAGTGAGGTTATTATAGTAGAACCGGCTCCCAGTGAGGAGCAGAAACATACGCTCTGAGGTTTGCTGCTGTTATTCATGTGTGGTTTTCACCATTCTCACAAGCCCATTGTTCCAACAGAGACCATACCCTTGGACCCTCGCTGTGGCTTGGTTCTGGACCAGGGCACGTGTCGAGAATACAACATCCGCTGGTACTACGACAAGCAGGCCAACGCCTGCGCCCAGTTCTGGTACGGAGGCTGCGGCGGCAACAAGAACCGTTTCGACACAGAGGAGGAGTGCCGGACGACGTGTGTGATCCCCAGAGCCACGGGTAATCTTTGTCGTGTTTTTATGTCTCTCTGAARTTAGGTTTCTGTCATTTTGAAGTATTAACCTGATCATTTTGTTTCTTTAGCAGGCTGAGTGAAGGCATCTGCTGTACAAAGTTCCAGYAGGAGCAGCTAAAACCAGGAGCCGATATGAAAAGTTTGTTTACGATCCTCAGGATAAAGCATGTCTTCATGTCCCCTCCTCTGGGACTTCTTCCAAAACAAGACTTTTCTATTTAAGCTGGAGAACAATTCTTCTCAGGAACACAGATGAGCCGATGCTTCAGCTTTTTTTTATCTTCAGTTTCTGATAACTGAGAAGACAAGATGGACGACACGTGAAACAGCTGTAATAAATGACATCAGTGAATCAATATGGCATCAGCAGCCATAAATTTTCTCTACAATAACACAACAGAGACAAAGTTTCATGACCAATATTAATAAAATGGTTTTGTTTTTTATTCAGTACTGTGCCCAGGTCATGAGTTGTCCTTTGTTTCTTTCTAATTTCCTTTCAGGCAGCCAGATTTTCTTGGATTATCTTACATACATCCTCATTATTAACACTGAAATACCCATAATGCACCAATAMGAGATGAGAACATCCTCATTAATCCGACATTAAATACAGAAGGAGAACATTCTTTGTTAAGTCTATGTTGTTTTAATTTCCTCTCAGAMATTTAAACAGGATTAAAATTTAACAATTAGGACAAACCAGTAAAAACTGTCTCTTTAAGTTTCTAGAGCAGAATTGATTGTAAGAATGCCTGAGAAAGGCTGCTGAGTCACAGTTTTTTAAGAGATTAGGATAGGATTTTAAATCCATGTGGATCCACCAAAAACTGATTTTTTAAATAGTTGCTTTGCAAATTATTTTTTTAAATCAAAGTTTTTCTAGTCAAATTTCCAAATGAAATTCCCAGTTCGGGGGGAGTCTGTCTCAGGTGGAGGAGTACAGGTATCTGGTTTTGTTCCTGAGAGAGGTGGATCCACAGATCAGGGTCTCCTCCTCAGTAATGAGGGTGTTGCTTTGGTCCTTCGTGGTGAAGAAAGAGTGAAGAGAGTTGAGTCTAAGACAAAGTTCTGGATMTARWGGTCAGTCTACATTCCAACCCTCACCATGGTTAGGGTTAGGGGTTAGGGRTACCCTAACCATGGTTTTATGCTCTTTAACAAAGGCTAAATGTAAGTATGAATTAATTAAATGACAAACTGTTTCTGTTGTCCCTCAGTGGAGAAATTCAGGTGCATCAGCAGCAAAGTGACAGATAATTGAAACGGTAAAATATTATAGTATGAGGAATTAAGTAAAATTTTTAAAATAAATCTTTTATTTTATTATTTATAATTGTTATGATTTAGCTTGGATGGTTTGAACCCCAGATCTGGGATTGAGCGAGGTGGGCAATAAAAGAGGGTAAAAAAAAGTTTATTTATGAAAACAAAAGCGGTGGTGTTGCAGCAAACAAAATGCTTGACTTGAAACAATGAGATGGGCAAGAAACAAAGTTCTGACAAAGACTGAGGATCAAGGACAAAATATAAAGGGAAACCAACGAGCTAAAACAAGAAACACCTGGGGAAGAAACATAAGGATCAGGTGTGAGTGGGCAGGGCCGAGCAAAGGCAGACAGGAGGAAAKCAGAGGGACATGACAGAAAACCAGAATAAAGTCAAAATCAAACATAGACACAAACCATTACAATAATAGTAACTTTAAATGTATTTCTTTTCACAGAAACACACTCATCTTCTAAGGAAAACTGAAAACTGAAGGAATTCTATAAGGAATCTTCATCTTCTGTACATAGCAATAACAATTTATTTCCCACTAGCCTGGGAAATAAAACCATATCACCATATACAGTATATATGTTAGTTCTGGAGCTAAAAAGAAAGCTAAAAGGCTAAAGTGAGCCTTCCATAAAGCAGCTCTGTTGTCCTCCATCATCATTTTCAGTTGCAGGCTGAGTCATTTCTACCTTCTCCTCAGTGCCACCATGCTCCAGTTTCATTAAAAAACATTGGACATTGTTCAAAATTAACCTTCAAGCTGACTYGAACTCACACCAGAGGAGCCAGTTTACATTATTTACAAAGAACATGGTAATGTTAGTGTTACAATACATTTTTGAATGTATAAAAACTAAACAGCCTARAGTATTTTTACAGTCTCATTTCATAGTTGAAGTAATCTTTTATCAAATAACGTCTAATGTCTAATTTAAAGCACTCTACACCAAGAACATTTAATTCACAGAATAACTGAAAGGGTCCCAGTGTTTCACGGACAGAAAAGTGAATAAATGAAAAGCCAGAATGTGTAAAAAGGAGTCAAATAAATCTACATACTGACGTCTGAATAACTATAATAACAAGAAAGTCGACTCCTTGAAGCGTAAAACAAAAAGATGTTGAGCAGCTCAGGATTTTTGCACAGTAATGTGTTAASTGTTTTGATAACTTTTTAAGTGTGAGTTAGTGGGATAATTTTATACCTCTGAATGTGAGTTTATTTCAGAGGTATTAACTAAAAATGGTTATTGGTTGTTGTTTTACTGTTAAGTGATTCATACAGCGCCCCAACTGGGCGACACTCAAGGTTTTATCTGGTACTGTGGTACTCAGAAGTACTGACTGCAGAATACTGTACTGTGTAACCCTGTCACTCAGTTTAAAAAATCTCATYTTTTCCTGTGTTTGAAGGCTTTTCATATTAAATATGATTAATGGAAGAGTTCAATGGTAATTCCTGCAGACTGTCACCGGAAGGGAAACTTAATTCATTTTAAATTAATATAAAGAAAAAAGAAATTAAAAAATGGGCTAAAATAGAAGGTTGTCCCTGAAATGTTCAGATTACATCTAAAACCAGTAACTATTTGAGCTTATTGTTTCAGCAAACTGATTTTGAATTATATTTATTTCAGATAATATGAGCCTCAAATATTTGACTGATTTTGTGTAAGCAGCAAGACCTCTTACAGTTCAGAACAAAAACAAGTTAGGGTTTATTTTGAGGTAAATAAATAGTGGTTAAGAGTTTATAGGTTAACAAGTGGGATTCATCAAAAAAAAACTCCAAAAAAGTTGTGGCAAAAGAGTTATAAATGTGATGACCCACACAAAATATTTGTGTGGATAAAAAACTATCTAAAAGAAACAAATCACAAGCTAAAAGAAGAAGAAGCAAAAAAAGAAGCAAGAAGCAAGAAGCAAAACACCAGTTAGAATGTATAAAGAAAGCAGAATACCAGCCAAAAGAAGCAAAAACTAGCTAGAATCTAAAAGCAGAACGCCAAGAGAAGTAGAAAACTAAAAACATAACACTGACTASAAGCTAAAAGAAGCAAAAAATAGCTAAAAGCTAAACAGAGTAAAGCTAAAAGAAGCAGAACTCTAACTAGAAGCTAAAAAGGAGAAGTGTACTTAGAAGCRAGTAGAAGCAGAACACTGCTAAAAGATTTTAAACAAACAGCACAATAAAATCCTCCTTTACTTAATCTGTAATCCTACCCTATAAACCCTAGTGCCAAAACACTAGCTGAGAAGTAAAATATGCAAAATGTTAGCTAGATGCTGAAAGAAAACAGATAGATTTCTTTTTATTTAACTCTTCAAACATGAATTGTGCTTAAACTTAAATAAAAGTTAAACTGATTCAATCAAAAACAGATGAAACAACAAACTTTATAGCAGCTTCAGTTAATTAAAATATTTATGTGTATTTATGTTTTTGTCTGCTAAATGTCCCATTGTTGGATTTTCCTCGATGACATCATTCTTGACAATTCAAAGCAAAATAACATATCTGAGTAAAAATCTCCTCTCACTGCTCCTGTTTGTCCAACCAGTGTTCCTTAATTAGATTTTTGATATTTCATTATGGGGTGGCCCCCTCTGGACCTCCTCTCAGTGGCACCCCTGTTTGATTTAAAAAATTGATTAAACAACAGCTTTATTACAACCTTATTCTTTTATTTAAGTAGAAGTCATTAATGTTGTTTTATACATACAAAATCATTTTCACTTCCACCTGAAGCTTACTTTAGCTTTAAAGACGTGACGAAGCTCCTTCCTCTCCTGTTTAAAAAAAACCTCATGGACTCGTCGTAGTCTAATCTATCTTTAGTTCTGCCCACAGGAGAAACTCAGACTTTATCTGTCCGATGAAACAAGACTGAATCACTCTGTTGATCCAAACACATCGTCTGCTTCTTTTTCAGAAATCATCCAGAGCATGTTTTAAACACATGTCAGCATTTAATAAATATCTCTAATGATTTGTTTGTGATTTAAGTGTTTTTAAAGGTTTAACCCCCCTTACACACACACACACACACACACACACACACACACACNCACACACACACACACACACACACACACACACACACACACACACACACACACACACACACACACACACACACACACACACACACACACACACACACCAGTCTGTGACTGATGCGTGTTTCTCACCTGCTGCTGCTGCACTCGAACCTTTTCAGGTCCAATTATAACTCGGTCTGTCTCTGCTGTGGACTCACCAACGACAAGATGAGTAAAACAGGAAACAACGAGCACAAAAGATAACGAGAACAACGTTTCTGCAGTCAGACTCTGAGTCGACTTTTATAATTGCTTCTGTCATCTTCTAGGAAAAATATTAACGTCAGCATTGATTTTAATTCTGAGAAATAAAAATGTATTTATTGGTATAAAATACAACTTTAATAAGTCAGAGTACTTCACATGTCAYTAATCAGCTGCCGCTAACAGAGTGTTGATTACTCTGAGTTAAAGACTACAGAAAGCAGCAGCTGAGGACTTTTTGTTGCAGTGAACCTTGACTATCAGGGAAGTGGTGTAAATGTTGAAGGAGTCAGTAAAACTCAAAAATAGATCAAGCTATAGGGTCTCTTCACATGATGAAGGTCTCCCATGATTGATTCAGGTTCTTGTAGGTATGGAAGAATGTCAGAAGAGTACATATTTTTAAGTCCCACTAACGCACAGRGAGTTATTCAGGGGTCTTTGTCTCCACTCTTAGCTGAATCATGGTGGCGTGCCTCCAGCCATAGATCCAGTTGCTTCTTTCAGTCTATGACGGCAGCTGCTGCGACCCGGGCTGGTGCTGTTCTGAGCCGGGCCCAGTCAGATTCCTCTGAAGGGGGGGTGCAGAAGAAGCTATATTTAGAGAGGGCAGGATTGAATTGCTGGGTCTTCACACTGGGACTCTTTCCTCTGATCAGCCTTTTCCAGCGAGGACCAGCGGCCTGAAGGACCCTTTGGTGACTGTCTCCTTCCTTTTCAACCTCCACTGTGACCGCTCCTGACCCAATATGGACCCCAACGCCATCAAGGAGGAGCTGCGTTTGTTTCAGAGCACTCTGCTCCAGGACGGCCTGAAAGAGCTCCTGAATGAAAACAAGTTTGTGGACTGCACCCTGAAGGTGGGCGACCGCTGCTTCCCCTGCCACCGGCTCATCATGGCCGCCTGCAGTCCTTACTTCAGGGATATCTTCTTCACTGAGGATGGGAAGGAGGTGGAGAACACCAAAGAAGTGGTCCTGGAGGACATCAACCCGTCCATCCTGGACATGATTATCCAGTACCTCTACTCTGCTGAGATCGACCTCACTGACGACAACGTTCAGGACATTATCGCAGTGGCCAACAGATTTCAGATCCCCTCCGTCTTCACGGTGTGCGTCAACTACCTTCAGAAGAAGCTGTCCCTGGGTAACTGCATGGCCATTTTCAGAATGGGCCTGGTGCTCAGCTGTCCRCGGCTCGCTGTGGCTGCGCGCAACTTCATCGCCGATCGCTTCGAGCTCCTTCACAAGAACGAGGAGTTCCTCAAGCTCGCACCWCATGAACTGTTTGCCGTCATCGGCGGAGACTCGCTTAATGTGGAGAAGGAGGAGCTGGTGTTTGAGTCGGTCATGGCCTGGGCCCGCTATGACAAGGAGAAGCGCCATAAGGTCCTGAAGGACGCCTTCAACTGCATTCGTTTCCGCCTGCTGCCGGAGAAGTACTTCAGAGAAAAGGTGGAGAGCGACGAGATGGTGAAGAGTGACCCGGAGCTTCAGACGATAATCCAGACCATCAGGGACGCCTACAAGGGGAAAATTCCAGAGAAACCCAAGAAGAAGGAGGGCGAGGAAGGGGCCGGRGTCGAAGAAGGCGAGGAGGAGGAGGACAGCCTGTTCCCTGGTTTCCTGAACGACGATCGTAGACACGGCATGTTCACACGTGACTTCATCCTGATGATCAACGACACGGCAGCGGTGGCGTACGATGTCAACGAGAATGAGTGTTTCCTCGCCGCCATGGCGGAGCAGGTGCCACGTAACCACGTCAGCCTGGTGACGCAGAAGAACCAGCTCTACATCATTGGGGGACTGTTTGTAGACGAGGACAACAAGGATGTGCCTTTACAGTGCTACTTCTACTTGGTGAGCTAACGTCCATATTGGCAAATAATACTAAAAATCATCCACCATGAGGGTTTTAAAAGCATGATTTCACAGTTTATATGATTTATTTTTGTCCTCCACTATAGGTCGAGATGGTGTTGCGTAAAAACAGTCTGATCTAAAGTTAAATCAGGAAAACAAACTCCTCCCACAACCGAAACAGGAGTAATTGTTGAAATTTGAAGAACAACAAATAAGTGTTAAAGTTAAAAGAAGCGGCTCAGAACTTATAACTGGCAAAAACAGAGCTAAAGGGAAAGCTAAAAATAACAAGACAGAAAAAAATGTAGCAAATTCATAGCTAAAAGATAAAATTAGCTAGTCAAAAAAAAAACTCTAGAAAATTTSTAGCTGTAAATGCTAAAAATAACCAAATGGAAAATGTAGTAAAACTAGAGCTAATAGCAATAATAAACAAGAGTGAAGCAAAATGTAGCAAACTGAGCTAAAACCTACTATTAGCTAGTCAGAAACGAAATGTAACAAAACCTTGGCTAAAAGCTAAAATTAAAAACAAATACAGAAATCAAATGCAGCTTTAAGATGAAACTAAATGTAGCTGAACTGTTGCTAACAGCTAAATATACTCAGAAGCAAAACAAAAGCTAAAACTATACCTACAGCTGATATAAACAAAAGACAATGACGAGGAAGTCATAAAATAAATGTAGCAAATCAATAGCTAAAGCTAAAATTAGCAAAACAGAAGCAAAAGTTGGCAAAACCACAGCTAAAATTCCCTTGTCAGAAATTAGGTGCAACAAAACTGAGAAAAAGCTAAACTGTCAAACAAAATATAGTAAAACTGTAACTAAATGATAAAATGATCCAGTCAGATGCAATTCATTGCTAAAAGCTAAAAATGAAAAGTTGCAAACAAAACATTGCTTATCTCAAGCTAAAACATAAAATGAGAGGAACAGAAAAAAATTAGCAAAACTGAYCTAAAAGCTAAAATGAGCAAAACAGAAAAAACGTAATAAAATAGTAGCTAAAAGCTAGATGGAGCAAAGGACAACAAAGTGYTTATGCAAAGTAGATTTAGCAAATAAATGTGTCTAAAGAAAATGAAGAGATTTTAAGGTATGAGTTCAAATGTGAAGTAAATTATTCAAAAATTTAAACATTTTTAAATCGAGACTATTCTTCATCAATTTGAACATTTTCATATGTGAAAAGCTAAAGTTTGTAAAAGTAGCTTTATTGCAAAAAAATATTGGAAGAAACTACAATAAGGACCATAATTAATCAGAKATGAAGTTTCCGTTTCAGCCTTTAACAGCAGCAACAACATATGAACATCTGCAGACATTTGTCATCCTGACCAAAAAGCCTTAAATACTTCAGTTTAACTGAAAATACAGACATTAAACTCACTTGTTTGTGTTGTTTTTCCCACCACAGTTTGACCCACTCACATCTGAGTGGGTCGCCCTTCCTCCCATGCCTTCTCCAAGATGCCTCTTCAACATTGGAGAGAGCGAGAATCTGCTGTTTGCTGTGGCGGGAAAAGACCTCCAGACCAACGAGTCCCTGGACACCGTGATGTGCTTTGACATCGAGTTAGTCCTTGCCTTTCTAATTACACTTATATTTCTATAAACAGTATATAGAGAAAGAGACCAGAGGGGGCCAACCCTAAKTGACAGAGGCACAGAGTGATGCTGCAGCAGAATTTAACATGTTAAAATTCTCTTTTTTTCTTCAGMAAGATGAAGTGGAGCGAGACCAAAAAGCTTCCTCTGAAGATTCACGGACATTCTGTGGTCTCATACAAAGGACTGGTTTACTGCATTGGAGGYAAAACCGATGACAAGTGAGTGAAGAGGCAAGATCAGCTGTTTACCAAAGGATTGTAAAGTCATATATGAGGCCGTCTGCCCAAGAGCTGAAGCTCGGAACAAACAGGGTCCAACAGTAAACATATAAGTAAAAAGTGACAGATTAGAGGTCTAAAACTGTCTGTGGCTCCAGGTAAATGACCAGATCTGATCATACCTCATCTCCACAGCAAAGCCCTGAACAAAATGTTCTCCTACAACCACAAGCAGTCGGAGTGGAGGGAGATGGCTGCCATGAAGACCCCCAGAGCCATGTTTGGGGCCGTCATCCACAACGGCAAAATCGTGGTGGTCGGAGGCGTCAACCAGGATGGTCTGACCGCTACGTGTGAAGTGTACGACTTTACAACAAACAAGTACGTACAAAAAAATACCAACAAACATGTACAAAATACCAACCAACACATTTGTGTTGGTTTTATTTTCTTCCTTTTTTTAGTTTTTGGTGGCACTTTAATTAAACGCACCGCTTCCTCCCAGACAAACAGCCAACTTGTCAGCTCTTGTTGGTTCCCGGGACACAGACAGAAACTCTGAGTTTATTTTTACACCACCTGCTTTGCGAAACAGTTGTCTATATTTACAGCAGCTGTGAATCAGAATCAGTTTCCCTGTTTAGCATCGCTTTTCTAACTGGTTGGTTTAAAAGCCAAGAAACAGTCGATCCTTTTTCCACAACCTGACATATATTTAACTCACCGTCCTTGTATCTGTGGAGGTTGACTGTTTTTCCTGTCCTCTTCTTCCTCTGGCTCTTCCTGTGAGTTTATCAGGCAGAATGATTGTTTGCGTAACTAAATTCCTCTCTGGGTAAATAAGTAAGTCAGTAACAGACTGTGCAGTTTGTTTTAAAGCTGTTCCTCCTCACACTACAACCATGGATATCACATTTTCTATGTTCTTTTCTGTTTTTGATTTTATCTTTGTTTCTACCAGTTTAGCACCTACAGGGTAGGGCCTAGGTGACCCTCGTCTGGGCGAGGGACATTGAGCTCCTTGTTGACATCTCTGAATCGCTCTTTGTCTGACCTGTCACCCAGATCCAATCTGCCTTGGGAGACCCCTAACTCATGCAGCTGACTTCGACACCAGAGCTCCTAGGGTCATTCAGGCACACAAAATAAGGTGGTGATTGACAGAAAAGTGTGGTGACCGAAAGAACCAGATCTCAGATCTGTGAGGTCCCGYRTAGTTTTCTCTGCAGGGTAGCTGGACTCAAGAGACTCAGAGTAGAGCTMCTGCTTCTCCACATCCAAAGGAACCAGCTGAAGTGGTTCATCTGGTAAGGAGGACCCTTGGATGCCTCCCTAGGGAGGTGTTCTGCACATGTTCAACTGGGAGCAGACTTCCAGGGAAGACCCAGGACACTCTAGAGTAGTGCTTCCACAYATGATTCTTTTTATAGTCGACTAATCACCAATTACTATTTTTTGATTAGTCGACTAATCGGATCATACGTTAATTGAATATAAAACATGCAGCTTATCGTGCCAGAATGCAGCTGCTATTATATAACCATCGTTAGATTTTAGCTATATGCTAACTAAAAATAATTGCCGTGGAAGGCAAGTTCTGCCTTGCAGATATTAATAATAATATTAAAATTAAAATAATAATAATAATAATAACTTTATTTATAAAGCGCTTTCAGACAAAGTGCCGAAACTATATTGTATTGCACAGGTTTTTCTTTCATTTTCTTAAAATGATCCCGCTTCATTGCTGGTGTGATACTAGAGCCTGTCTGTATAATGTCTTGTGACGTCCACGGCCTACCCCGGTTARCACTACTGTACAAGTGTGTCAAGGACAGAAAGGCAGACAAAAGGCTAAACAACCAAAGAAAATCTGAAGCTTCTATGTTTAATAGTTTTTGAGCAATAACCATTTTTGTATGTCCAGGTACCCCTTTTTCAGATGAATTGGGGGTCCGGGGGGTGGGGGCCCTGATTGTGGGTCTGATGGATAGAGCTTCATCAGAGCTAAACAACAAAAGAGATCTGAAGTTTCTATGTTGAACAGTTTCTGGGTTATAAGCATTTTTGCATGTCCAGACACTCCCTCTTTGAAAGGAGCTCCCTCCTCAAATGTGGGGTCTATTGTAAAACCGTTGGCTGGCGCAGTGTAGGTCAGACTCATCTACAGTCCTGTCAAATTTCATCTTGATTGGTGCAGCCGTTTTTGTGCTACGGTTGACCAAAAATCACTGAAAATAAATAAATAAATAAATAAATTGTACGATAACAAAATGACTCCCGCTTACGCTACGCATGCGGGGGGTCATAATAAAATTAATCCACTATTAAATTAGTCATTGACTATTTTAACAGTCTATTAGTCYTTGACAAGTCGACTAATCAAGGCTGCCCTACTCTAGAGAGACTATGCCTCTCAGCTGGTCTGGGAACACCTTGGAGTCCTCCCAGAAGAGCAGGAAGAGGTGAATGTGGAAAGAGAGGTCTGGACCTCCCTGATCAAGKTGCTGCAGAAAACAGAAAGATGGACAGAAAGATGGATTTCTTTCATTTTGCACACCATGATTTTGTTTCCAAGTCTAAAAGTTTTTGATGTCCATCCACTAATTTTCCTAACCTAAAGAAACTCTGTAAAACTCGCCTAAGAACAAGTGAAACAGTCAGGTTCAGGACCACAGCTCAGTTTTGAAATGGTTGTTTTATCGCTGCAGATGGGAGCCGTTCTCCGAGTTCCCCCAGGAGAGGAGCTCTGTGAACCTGGTGAGCAGCGGTGGTCTCCTGTACGCCGTGGGGGGCTTCGCTATGGTTCAGATGGAGAACAAGGAGGTGGCTCCGACGGAGGTCACCGACGTGTGGCAGTAAGTCCTCACAAGTTTTAAAGCTTCACTAAACGTTGTTGTTGTTTGATGACGGCACTCTCGGTTCGGTCAGGTACGAGGAGGACAAGAAGCAGTGGAGCGGCATGCTGAGGGAGATGCGCTACGCCTCAGGCTCCACCTGTGTGTCCATGCGCCTCAACGCTGCCAGGATGCCCAAACTGTAAACAGACACCTGCCAACCGCCCCCCACAGTCAGCTGCCTCTGAGGCACTCGGAGAGCTGAGCTGATCTTTGGCATCAGTCTCTTTTCTGGACTCAGATGAGTTTGTTTTTTTTAATCTGTGGAATAAAAGCTCGCTTCAGATTCTGCTTAAAAAGAGGCTCCTGTCCCGCAGTTAAGACTGACCTCTACAGCTGTGTTTTACATTATTTCTATCTTTTATTTTGTAAAAAATAAATAAATAGGCATTTTGTTCCTGCCCGTGCTTTTTCTGTGAAGGATCYTTACAGAAGTGGTCGTTGATGGCTGCCGAGGGTGAAAGAAAGAAGTAAAAAGAAAGCTGAACCGTGTAATAAAAACACAATAAAGACCTCGAAACGTGAGACGCACATTTGTGTCAACATAAATGAAAATATGCTGTAAGTTCAGGAAACAAGACATAAAGGGTTTATAAGGTTTGTATTTAATCACGTCCATGAATAAAAGGTTGTTCACGCTGAATTGAAACAGTGTTTGGAAATATTTTTACATTTATATCATAGAGACAAACTGCAAATGAGGTGAAGGAGACGACACAAATTGACACCTGCAGCGTGTTTGCATGTGAGGTAGGGAGATGTGAAAAACAGCTCGTCCTTCAGACGTTTGAGAAAAGATGATCTTTAACTTTCAGACTTCAAGACATGATTTAAAAAAAAAGWTAAACTGCTTCAGCTAAAAGCACTGACAAAACAATTTAAAAAATAAACTGCAATTCAATTATTTTTTTATTTCTTTGAAACTATAGTACTGAAGAGAAGTCCTACATTCAATAAAAGCTAGCATGCATGCTCTAACCAGTCAGTGCAGAGCATCAGAACGAACCGAAACTCAGCCAAGAATCAACAGAAGAAACCATTTTTATTTATTTATTTATTTATTTATTTATTTATTTATTTATTTATTTATTTATTTATTTATTTATGTTTTAAGAATTGCTACATCTTCTACTGCTGTAACTGTTTATCTTTTCAAGAAACATGCACCCCGGTGTCAGGTTGTGTGATAAAATAGGTGAGAACTTCCTCTGTGCGTTTTGCACATGTTCAGAAAGTTTCGACTAACATTTGGCAATTACTTTGTACYTGCGAAAAATACTAGAGCACATTTTGTAGATTCAACTGATGAAATGGAAACAAATTTTTAAGAGAAATATCTAAAGATACAGTTTTCTGTACTCACCCAGTGTTACAAACCGAACCCCATCCAGACGATGGTGAGGACCACTGCTGTTTCAAGATGATCCCCAATTTGTTTCTTTAGCCTTTTTGTTGTGAAAACCCCACGTCGTAAATAAATTCCTCTTTAAATACATACAGACTATATCTTATATTTTGGCACACAAACGAGGAAACTTTCAGTTTAACTTAAAAAATGTTGAAATATAACATTGAGCATGATGCTAACTTTAGCATTTGCACCACAGAGCTAACAGTGCAAATTAAACAGTTACATCACACTTCAACACTTCCATAAAATGAAAACAGAATTGTCTTAACAGACGTAAAATATATTAAAATAAAAGAAAAAAAACACCTTGTTCCCATTGAAAGAGTCTATAAACCCTTTTAATCCAGAGCCGTTTGCCTCATTAATCCAGCTACCTATATTTAGGGGAGATGGGACAGTTGCAACACGTCATTTTTCTCCAAACAGAAACAGTGTAGAGTGATGACACTCACACTGTACATGCTCAGATGTCCCACCTTGCAAAGAAAAAGTAAACAGATTCAAAAACTACTCCAGGATTTATTTGAAWAAAAAAATTGTTTTTGAGGTACCAAAGTAATTTTTTTATTTTGTCCAGCGTTATTTTTGTTATACTGTTGTCACTGTTTTTGTGATCCAGCTCAAACTTCTATGGTTTAAACAAGTGATATGTTGACTTTTAACTAACATACTGTAGTTAACATGTCTCCAGATCAGCTTATTTAGCTAACACATGAGGTTTTATCATGGCTGACAGGAGCACACACAGATGATATTAAGATGTTGAAATTGAGTTTACACTTAAAAGGATATTGGGTATTCATGACAATTTTTATAGTTTAAAACATAAAAGTGTTTAAGATGTATTTTCTGCAGTTGTTGTTTTCAACAATGGTTTTAAAATCCTAGTTTGTTTCAATATAAATTTTGCATAATGTAGGCGTACAGTGACAATAGGCAAAACAAAAGTTAATTGCCTCACAAATTGTTCTATTATTCTTGTCTCTAAAAGCCAACTGTATTTTATATCAATCAGAGTCTTTGACATCTGTATATAAGATCTACTCATCAAGGCAAATTTATATTTGTCATATTTGATCAAAAAGAATAAATAAATAACACTGTAATATCATTATAACTTCGTTTTTTATAAATTTTGCAATAATATAAATATAAAAATAATAAAACTTTTATTTACAGAGAAATATATTGTATTAATAATATGTTACAACCACCATCAAACAATGTTGTAACTGTCCCCGGCCCTGGGGTCAGTTGCAACGTCTGACTTTTCATTTTCAAATGCAAATTGTGATGAATGTACATTCTTTAATCATCTATAAATGGTTTCGACTATTAACTGAAAAACTAAAATCAGGCGCGTGAATGCTGGCACATCTTGGCCGCCACTGCTCGTCGGACTTTCTGTCATTTTTGGCTTGATCAACTATTTTATTCGTCCATCATGGATCTTCTGCTGGTGGATTACTATGACAAGTTCCTGCATCATCCCAAAATCAACATGTGGATTAACTGCTGCCGGCTCTGGTTTGGACCAGTCTAGGTTCAAATTCTTATTAATTTAATTTTTTTGCGAATTTTGAAAAGTTCGATAAAAATTCACTCTACAACTGGATGGAAACATGATTAGTGATCACCTGTTGCTTTCTTTTAGCCTCAATTTAAAATTCTCTTCTTTCAGACCACAATGCACTATTCAGTTTCGTAACATCAAGAACATCAACCAGGAGGCTCTCCTTTCTCAGATTAATAACAATTTCTCTACCGTTAACACAACTAACCTAGATGATCTAGTCTCCACCCACAACAATGATCTCACCAACATCCTTGACTCTCTTGCTCCTCTTAAAACCTGTTCTGTCTCCTTCTCCACTTCTGCTCCATGGTTCACCTCAGAACTTCGCTCCATGAAAACACAAGGTCACAGACTAGAGCGACTCTACAAGAAATCAGGTCTTACATTTCACAAAGAGATGCACATAAACCACACACTACAGTACAAAGAAAGTATCGCTCAGGCCAAATCTAACTACTACACTGACATCATCAGTTCCAATGTAGGCAACACACAGACTCTTTTCTCTCTCCTTAACCGCACAGTTTCATCTCCGAATTCTCTACACCCTCACATGTTTTCTACTGACTGCTGTAACTCGCTCATGTCATTCTTCACTGAAAAAAATTCGCTCCATACACCAACACCTCGGACCAAACTCTGCCCCCAACATCTTTATAGAACTCCCACCCCCTCCATCCACCTCTCTGTGTTCGCTCTCCCCTCTGCTGCTGACGTATCTGCCATCATTAGGAAGACCAAATCCTCCAACTCCCAGCTAGATCCAATCCCCACAGCTTTGGTTAAATCCTGTCTCCCCTCTCTGCTTCCTATCATCACCAACATCATCCACTCCTCTCTGACGACTGGTACTGTTCCCACAGCTTTTAAATCAGCTGCCATCACCCC